ATTGGTACTTCCAACTACAAAGTCATGTGAAAGTCTGTCTTTTCTCTTGAACATATTATATTATCAGTTATTTGACCCAGCTGCTCTCTTGACAGAATCAGAGGATCCTGTCTAGGCCTGCTGGGGCTTGCACTGGGCAGCAATGGCAAACCCTGTCGAGCTTTTAATGATACAAACAGCCCACTACAGCGTGCACGCCACGTTTGCCACCACTGGGACAGGGAATGTGTCTCATGTGTTTGCTTCTGACTGCTTCTCAAAAAATCAACAAATGTGTATTACTGTCATTCAGAACAACAGTACAAAAGCAGTTCCACTGGAACACAAATGGACTTCAAACATTCTATTTATAAATAATGCAACATGCAACTTTCACTCACAGTTTCAGACCTTTCTTCCAGCACTTACATACAGTTCTTTAATTCAGCCCAAAATGTTTCATTAAAAACTATTACCAATTTTTCCCCATTCACAGTACAACCAGGCTTCTTATTGAGAACATGGAAGGAAAACCTAATTATTCAGTACATCAGAATTTATTTAATTACCAAAATCAACACAGTAAGGGCCAGGTACTGTCACAGACAGGCAGACGGATATGGAGTATAAACTGTTCTTTCCTCTACTCTTCCTCCCCATATCCCACCCCTCAAAGTTCCATGGTTGGAAATCATCCTAAGTTTTTTTAGCCAGGATGTACTAAAATTAGATGGGAACAAAGGCCTGACATTTTCATATTAGCAGAGGGGTTAGGAGGCAAATGTGAACTGGCAGCACCCACATTCATCTACATTTAGCCTCTTCCTCCCAATTCCCTCCCCTCTGAAGCACTAACACAGGGAAGGGAATGACAACTATCCTGACACTGTCTGCATTTGGCTGTTATATTTGATAATAAGCTGCTTTATCTGTATGTATATTAATGAAAAGTGATAAATGTAGTTCACAGTCTTCTTGGTCAAAACCAGAGTATTTTCATATTTCTAAGCCACTCTGATATTATCCAGGATATGCTAATTGCTGGATTATGCAAATGTTTATGTATATGGGAAAACAAATAAGACTAAACTTGCTTTTTTAACGCTTCAAGACAGTACTCACAATAAAGATCACTCAATAAAATACCATTTGCTGGTGCATAACATACTAAAAATATAACATGGTAAAACTTATCTTTTCTTCGGGAAACAAAATCATTTCTTCTGAACAGATTTTAGTTACTTATATCTTCCTCTAATAAGCTAGGCAAGTAACTTGCAAATACTTTAAATCACAATTGATTGCTTGGTTATAAGTCTTTCTTACAATAGTATCAGCATGACAAAAGTACATTCTGCCAGCCTGTACATTCCTGTTTTTGAAGTTCTAGTCCATAAAAGCATGATATTGACACATTCATGTCTTGGGAATTATTCCTATCTTTTTAAATTTGATTTGGGCCTAAACTACATGTCCACACAGTGACAGCTCAAAATTCAGCAAGAAAAGCCCTTTTAATGGTTAGTCTAATGCACTATGTTATAAAGATTTTTAAAACTCAGTAAGTACCGACTCGAGCTCTCTTTTTTTTCTGGTTACTGGAGCCCATCTTGACATCTAAGCTGGAAATGAATGATCTTTCAGCAACACTCCAGGGATTTTGCTAAGGTCATATTCAATCATTCATTAGGCTTCTTACCCGAAGCTTTTCAGAGTTCCATTGTAGAGCTGGTTTTATTCAGCATTTATGTAGCCTGTGGGCTAGGGTATTTGTCTGCTTAATGTTGAGTTTCATTTCTATGCCCCTAACATAGGAATCCATCAATTGACCAAAGAATTTCAAACTATTCTCTTACTTTTCTAACAAATTGCGTGGTGTGTATGAAGAATAAATTAGCATTAATTTTCTTCCATTAACTGTTAATAAAACATGCCCCTGCACTCCTCCTTCTTCTAAGGACATCTCTGTTTTCTGCCTAAGTAAAAAACAAAACAAACAAAAAAAAAAAAACAATAAGATTTCCTAATTTTTTCCCACTATGCAATTGCCTTTCAACCTAATCTGTTCCATGCTTCCCACAAAGAAACCTTGTCATGGCAGCCTTTTTCCAGTAAAATATACAGGACAAGACTCCTTTCAGAGCCCACCCATACCCCACTACAATTAGCTGAAGAGGTTACTACTGTGGAACATAGACACTTGGCTGTCTCTGGAGCACACAGACTAGCTCACAGAGCCAAAAAACAGGAAATCAAAACCCAAGTCCCTCCCCTGGAGTCAAGATGATTGTCCACATTTGTACATATTTTCATTACAGGCCACAAGACAGAGAAACACAGACAGCAAATAGGCAGACACACACACACACACACATACATCTATAAAATAAAATTAAGAAAACAAAGTCTATTAAAATAAGCAGGGAAGCTCTTTCTTTGCATACCAATTTGAGGGGAAAAAATTTTTTTTTGGTACTAGGGATTGAACTCAGGACCTTGCACTTGCAAAGCAGGCGTGGTCCCACTGAGCTAAATCCCTAGCCCCTTGAGGAAAATTATTTTAAGGCTATATAAAAATTACTAATGTAGGTTTCTTAAAACTTAAGTCTTCTATTGTACTCTTGGTGAATATACAATGAGACCAATATCCAGTACTGTATTACAGTTAGAAATTTAAAAAGAGTATAAGTAAATTAGAGCATATTATTCATAAAATGATTAAGTCTTTTGTATATGTTTAGCACCCTTCTCTCAAAATAAATAAAAGATTGAATGTATGTCATACATGAAGAAAAGCAAGTTTTTTTTCCCACTATGATATGGAAAAAATCAAAGTTGGTTTTTTTTTTTTTGGTTCTGGGGATCAAACTTGGGAACTTGCACTTGCGAAGCAGGCAGTGGAACCACTAAGCTCCATCCCCAGCAGTTTGTATGTATTTTTAAATGGCTTTAGTAGCTGCTAAGAGTAGTGTCAGGCTGGATCCCCATATACGCAAATGCCAGTCCCCCAAAGCAACTCTTAATTCATGTACTTGGTTTAAAACAACGTTTTTAAAACTTTGCTTGTTCATTGGTGGAGTCCGTCATTCAGGCCTCAGTTCCCATTGGACTTGCATGTGTACTTCCTATACACAGAAGGGGCCTGTTAGGCAGGCAGTGGTAACATGGTGAAGAGCAGCAGTTCTGAACAGGCTTCTCAGAGAACTCTCGTTTGCATTTCAAACAAGTTTCCTCAAAATAAGTGCCTTTTGATTACATAAAATTACAATTCCGACTTCTTATCCACGGAAAACAACATTCATTACCTAACTTACTGCTCTTTTTATGAGTGTAATTTTGTTCACAGTTGTCTACCTATTCCGAAGATTTAACAATACTAAGTTTAATAATGTAAAGTTTTAATACAAGTTTTAAAACATAAATGTATTTATGGTTTAATTCATTAACTTGGTGACATTTAATGGCCTGGTTCCTAACAGCTTGGTATTATTTGAAAACACTAATTTCATATCAGTGTTTTGTACCTTCCATTTATTCTGGTTTCAATTCTTAAGAAGCTGCCTTCTAGCAGGATTAAAATAAGAAGAATGACAATTCCCTTTTCCTAATCTTATCAATAGCTCCATGATTCAAACAAGAATAAAAAAGCCTTTACCTTTGCAAATGGAACAAACATGCCCCACACCAGGGACTCAAACTTCTTTTTCTTAACAAAACCCATTCCAAGTTTTCTGTGAATCAAACTCAATGTCTCAGTCTAGTCATGCATAGAAAGCCTATTCTGTTGGATTGGTGCTTCAAGATAAAGTATATATAACCATTCAAAATTCTAAAAGATTAGTTATCTATTAGTTCAAAAGACAATGTAAAAAAAAAAGATTTCCTCAATAAACTATAAAACTGTTACTACAGTCTCAGAAAACCAGCACAATTTTAAAAACATTTAAATTGGATATATTTTGAAGTAATTTCTCACTTACTATACTTTGTAAAAGCTTTCCCAGAACCAGGATGTAGCTCAGCAGTGCAATGCCTGGCTGTCAAAGAGGTAAGCCCTGAGTTTGATTCCTGGTATCAAAAAAAGGAAAGACCAAAAAAAAAAAGCTTTTCCCAAACTCCTGTTTTTGTCCAAAAGTCCAGGTAATGAACCATTAATGGTAAGTGCTGATCTAAGACTCATCCCACCCTCAACACTCAAAAAAGATAAAGGAAGAGCCAGGCCTGGTGGCACACACCTATAATCCCAGCATGCAGGAGGCGGAGGCAGGAGGATCCCTATGAGTTCAAGACCAACCTTGGCTACATAGTGAGCTCCAGGTCAGTCTCAACTACATAGTGAGACCCTGTCTCAAAACAACAAAAAAAATTTTAAGGATATAATGCTATACTCGATAATGTGGAACATTTACTAAATAACAAAAATTATTAGGTTTATAATCCAGCAGGTCCACAGAGCTGAAAAATCATTAAAATTACATAACTTTTTAAATCCTTGCATTATGACTTCAATATTAAAACATTACCCCAGTGCAAAATGGCATTGAGCATAACCTTTGTTACTGTTGTTATTGTTGCAATACTGGGGATTAAATCCAAGGCTTTGGGTACATGCTAAATGCTATGTACCACTGAGATATATCCCCAGCCTCCTTATCTTTGCAAAGCAATATATAAACACACTGTCTTGCTAAATTAGCCCCTAACTAGAACATGTACCTCTATATCCCTAAGGGCTTATACAAGTGATACCATCTTCTCCCAGAAGAATGACATAATTCAGTTCTTTCTTGGTGAGTTACCAGGGATCAAACTCACAACCTTGGGCTTGTGAGGCAGGCGTGGTACCACTAAACTACATCCCCATCCCCAATTCAATTCTTTTTTGTCTTAGTTTGGTTTCTGTTTTGTTTTGTTTGGGGGGTTGTTTTTATTTTTTTGTTTCTGTTTTTGAGAGTTTTCCTAGGTAGTCCAAGCTGGCTTCAAACTTGGCGTCCTCCTGCCTGAGTCCCCCAAATGCTGGGATTATAGACATGTACCACCAAGCCTGGCAATAAATATTTCCTGATCAACTGATACATTTATTTGATCTTACCTAATTATATATGTGAAGGTTAGGAAGTTCTTTCCGGCTGTTAAAAAGTAATCACCATTCAACTCAAAATAATATTTTTTATTATGTTTCATATTTTAATAAAGCACTAAGAAAGTTGTTTTGTTATTCTGGCCCTGGAATAGTGTGGTGAAACTATATACTATACATTAAACAACTATACTGAATTCAACTTTACCAAGGCATAAAATCAAGAATACATGCTTTTTGTAAATTCATTTACTACTTGAGGCCGGGGATTTAGCTCAGTGGTTCTGCCACCTGCCTTGCAAGACAAGGACTCGAGTTCAATCCCTGGTACAAAAACAAACAAACAAACAAATGGGTCACACATTTACTACTTGAAAGCTTTTAACTGTTCAGCAATTATAGGAAATTGTTTTAAGGTATACAAAGGAAAAAAATTACATTTCAAGTATAAAAGCAAATTTAAAAAATTCATCAATCTCTTAAAAGCAACCACTTACATACTCATGATTTTTTTCACCATCTCATTATAATTAGTCACCATGTGTATCCTGTATACTTACTAAACATTTGTTTGCACTTGTATTTTCTGTATTAGGTATACTTCACTGTGTAGCTCCTTTTAAAAAGCTACCTGAATTTGTCCAAGGAAAAGTCTCACTTTTTCTGGAAAACCAATGCTGTTACACTGTTTCCAGATCTGCCTCCAAAGCTGAATGTGGGTGTTGGCAACTCTTCAAAAAGTTCAAATCCTGTTGGACAAAATTAAAATACTTTTAATTAGGGACTGAATCTCAGTTAAGAGGAATTTGTATTAACAATGTACTTGTTATTTTTGTAGTTCTGGGTTCTGAACCAGGTGCTCAGACACATCACACACATACTAGGAAAGCCCTCTACCATTGAGCTACAGCCCCAGCCCTTTTCTTTTTTTATATTAAGACAGAGTCTCATTAAATTGCCCAGGCTAGCCTCAAATTTGTGATCCTTATTCCTCAGCATCACGTCCAGCTAACACTTACTTTCAAACCCCTTATAAAACTGTGAATGGTGACTGAATTTCATTTTGTGATTTACTAGTTCTACTATGAGTGTACAGTGTGTGTGCAAACCCAAAAAATATTTTGAAGTGAACAAGGAATAAACAACACCAAAAACAAATTGCAAAAAAAGACTCCCTCTCAATCTATTTCCTTCATTTCCCGTTTACCATCCCTTTCACCTACATCTCTCTTAGCCTATTTCACTGCCCTCTTTATAGGAAGCAACTATCATGTATTGAATTCTTATCATGTGTCAGGCATTGTTTTTTATATGGTTTTATTACAGGAATTCAACTAATCCATATCACACATATAGAAGTACTTAACACAGAAAAATTTAAAAACCTGGAAGCAAAAGTGAATTTGTAGAAAATGAAAACATTCTGGGGATAGACGGTAAGTACAACTGCACAATGATGTTATTGTACCTAACTATATACTATAGTACTCTGAACTATAAACTTAGAAAGTAATTGAAATGGTAACATCTTATAGGTGTTTTACCACCATTTTTTAAAAAGAGTTTATAACAAAGTTCAAAACCCAAATTGAACCAGTAAATGTGGTCTTGGAAAAAAAAGAAACTAGTAATTTTCAATGCAGCACAGTATGGTTATTAAAAAACAAAACAAAACTAATTTGAAGTCAAATGTTCTGGGTTCAATTGTGAGCCTTCCCACTTACTGAGAGATATGCAGTTCAAGGCACCTTTTCTAGGCTCCTGAATTCAGTGCAAGGAAATTACAGATACCAACATCCCCTATGGAACTCACAGTGATTTGTAAAGATCCCAATAAAACAATGCAGTGTTTGCCTAAACTATAAAATAAGATGCAAATATAACATTTTATTACTTTGGTTTCAAAGAATAAAATAGTGCCGGGGAAATTGTTCAGTGGTAGAACACTTGCCTAACATGCAGAATGGCCTGGGCTTGATTCCTAGCACCACAAAAAATAAACAAAATAAAAATTTTAAAATATTGCACTAGGGACTTAGCTCAGTGGTTCCACAGCCTGCCTCACAAGTGCAACAACCCAAGTTTGATCCCTGGTACCCCCCCAAAATGTTAATCAAGGTTTTCCTTCAGTGATAGAACAGTTTGAGAGGATTTTTTTGTTGTTGTTTCTGTGCTTTGAGTTTAAATAACTATTGTAGACAGGAAAAAAATGTTTAAAAGATTATATATTCGTATTGAATGGATTTTTATATTTTGTGTCATTACTTTTTTTTTTGGTTTTTTGAGACAAGGGCTCACTGTGTAGTTGAGACTGACCTGGAACTCACTATGTAGCCCATGCTGGTCTCGAACTCACAGTGATCCTCCTGCCTCAGCCTCCAGAGTGCTGGGATTACAGGCATGTGTCACCATGCCCGAAAACATATTCTAATTCATATTCTTATCAAACTTCACTAAATCTCCAGTTTTGGTGGTGGTGGTTGTTTTTTGAGAGTCTTACTATATAACCCAGGCTGGCTCTGAACTCTCTATCCACTGCCTGAGCCTCCTAAATGCTGGGATTATAGGCATGCATGCCACCAAGACCAGTAAACTTCACCAAATCTTAATAAATAAATATTAAGATACTTATTAAAAACATCACCAGGCATGGTGAAGCACACCTGTAATTCCAGCACTTGGGAGGATAAGGCAGCTAGTTTGCTGCAAGTACAAGGCCAGCCTGGGCTACATAGTGAGCTCAAGGCCAGCCTGAACTACATAGTGAAACCCTGTCTCCCAAAAAATTCTTTTTAAAAATCAAAAAACAGATCATAGGGCCGGAGATTTAGCTCAGTGATTCTGGCACCTGCCTCACAAGCACAAGGACCCGAGTATGGTTCCTGGTACCCCCCCCAAAAAAAATCATACACTGGGTGCAATGGTACATGGCTATAATTCAAGACTTTTATCAAAACAAAAAATTTAAAAGGGGCTGAGAGGTAGCTCAATGGTAGAGTCTATGGGTTCAATCTCTAATATTGAAAAGAAAAAAAAAAGAGAAAACTTTCTCAAAGAACAGGCATTTGAAATAGCATGATAAGAGCTGGGGATTTGGCTTAGTAGTTCTGCTGCCTGCCTCGTAAATGAAAGGGCCCGAGTTCAATCCCCGGTACTGAAAGAAAAGGAAATCATAATAGGCAAGTGCTCTAGCAATGACACAGCATGATGCATGATATACTTTAATGGTGGTAAATGGAACCACTGTTTTAGGTACATGGGCACACACCCACATTTGTTTCAGAGATTTTTACATATGCTTAAAATGAACATCTTCAAGGTACAATGCAGTGATATCAATTTTCCAGGACTAAGTTTTTAAGTCCCTCAACCTAAGCCTACAGAAGTTATATATTATTTTAGTATATAATTCACCAGAATCTTTTTTGGGGAAGGAGGGAGTTGCTGGAGATTGAACCCAAGGTCTTTGCACTGAGCTACATCTTAGCCTGTTTTTGTTTTTATTTTTCCTTTTTTTGGGGGGCGGGGATTAAAGATAGGCTCTCTTTATGTAGCCCAGGCTGGCCTCAAACTCATGGTGATCCTATTGCCTCAGCCTCCTGAATGCTGAGATTACTGGCATGTACCACCACACCCAGCTATGCTTTTCATTTGACACAGGGTCTCACTAAGTGACTAAATTGCCCAGTTTGGGCTCAAACTTGCCTCCTGACTCAGCCTCCCAGAATGCTGGGATTATGCGTGGATGCCACCATGCTCAACCAAAATCTTAAGTAGTGATTATATTCCTTTGATGGTTAACAGATGATTTTAGCTGGGCATAGTGGTGCACACATGTAATACCAGTACTCAGGATGCTGAGGCAGTAGGATCACCAAGGGTTCAAGGCCATCCTGGATTATATAGTGTCATGGCTTGTGTCTAGATGTACTCCCAAAGCCTCATGCAGTCATAGGTGGGGCTTTTTCAGAGGTAGCTGAATCCAGAGTGTGTGACTTTTTTCATGGTGCAATGCTAGGATTAAGGGTGCTAGGATTAAGGGTATGTGATTACTAAATCAGTCCACTGATTGGTTTGGCACCTCCATAATTCTGGCAGACTGGATACACTGTAAGGGACAGAAAGAAGCTCATCTTGTTCTTGCTTGTTTTGCTATCTTCTGCCTGCCATGAACTATTTCTCCTGTGTTATGCCCGTCTGCCATGCCACCCTGCCTTGGAGCCAGCTGATTATGACTGAATCCTCTACAAACCAAGCTTAAATAAATCTTTCCCCCTTTAACTTTGAGTGTCAGGTATTTTGTCTCAACAAGAGTAAAGTAACTAAGACAAAGAGAGCTCAAGGCCAGCCTGGTCAGCATCGCAAGACCCCTCAAAAAAAAAATTAGTAATTTTAATCTATATGCTTATGTGGTGAGGTTATTGATATTTTTCAACTTTTTCACAATGACTCTAGATTACTCTTGTGGTAAAATATATTGCTGTTGTTTTAATTCAGTCTTTGTAATAAAGTTAAGACCTTTGGACATCAAATTAGAACACTATGATATCTGACAACTGATTCAGGTTGACCCTGCCTGAACAAATTACAACACAAAATATTTACACTGTATGAGTAGTGCTATCAAGGGAAAAAAAATGCAAGATTAATTTCAACAGTTTTATGAATATTTACACACTTCAAATAAGGAAAGAAGCAAAGAACTTAAAAGAACAGTAAGGCCAAGAGAATGTGCCAGCCAGTAACAACCTTCAACAGTGAAACATGGCAGGGTACTGTTACATCTAACCCTAAACACCACCTTCTAAGAGACTCATGTCTAAAAAGCATGTCATCAATGGTATATAATTATTTCTTTAATATTTCTTCTTATAACATTTCACTTAACTCTGTATTCAGTTCTAAAACTGATCATAAAGAGTCCTCAGACACACATTTTTAAGCACGCTATATACCAGGCTAAAGTCTGTTCCTCATTATCAAAGATAGACAAATATGTTTTTGTCTGCTGGTTCCAGGAGTAAAAGAGAACACCTGTATTTAAAAACCAGGAAAGGAACTTGCCCTACACAGTACAACTCTGAGCATTTATTAAAACTGTCAAGCTTCGGAAGAAGGAAAGACGATTGATATGAGGCCTCAGCAGTTCTAAAGGAAACAAATTTAACATGGAAGATAATAAAATTAATAGCGTAAAATAAAAGACAATAAATCACATATAACTCTTATTTTCCAGAGGCAATGGTAATGAAGCCACAAGCTCACATTTCTAGCCTCAAACACTTCAAATTTTATATTAAATAACCTGTCAGACTCACTGAATGCACACAAAAGGGCATGTGTTAAGTGTTCTCCCTGCCTAGTCCCTTAATACCAAAAAGAAAATCTAAGATGCAGCCCATGCAGTATAGTTATAAATAACAGTACACAGGAAACTGCTCTCTTGAGGTAAATCACCCATTAGCTTATAACAAATGAGGTTCAAAGTTTAACCAAATATTTATTACCATATCACTTACTTAAGACTCCACCCTAAAAATTCCTCCTATTGCCCTCCAAAATACATACATACATACATAATCTGCAAATAATTCTAAGAAAAAATAAGCAAATACCTAAAGATTTTCAAAATAATTTCCCAGGAATTTCTCTGCGCTTCACAAATATATTGGCAAATAAAATATTCCCTAAAATATGCAAGGCACGGTCAACCAGAGAACTCAAAATGTTTTGTGTTTAGATTAGATTCTTAATGTTCACATGATCTTATTTAGTACACACCACATTAATTATACTTGGCTAATGGGGTAAAAAAGGATCCTACATTAGCACCCAAATGGAGAAAAAGGAAGCAATTTCCTCAAGAATTAGGAAAAGTTAGGAAACTAAGGTAGAACTTCTATCATTCCTTGTATTTTACATTTGTGTAATGTTAAAAATAATTGTTCTACATATACTAAAAACAAGAAGATAAATCCTAAATAATTAAATGACCACTAGAGTAGACATAAAAGTATCTATAACATTGAAAACATGAGAAGGGCATAGTGGCATATACCTACAATCCCAGTACTCTGGAAGGCTGATGCAGAAAGCAAGATTGAGCCCAGTGTGGGCAACTTAGCAACTCAGTGAGACAGCTGTCTCAAAAGAAAAAAGAAAAAGACTAGAAACACAACTCTATACAAAGGTTCTCGGTTCAATCCCCAGTTCTGGGGAAAAAAGAAAAAACAAAATCTCATCACATAACATCACATGAGACTTTAAAAAACACTACTTCTATTTGCATTATTACAGATTTGCCAGTGAAATCAGTACATTGAAGTCAAAAGCATAATACATGAGCTTTTTTCATTCTCTAAATAATAGATTATATAGCTTAAATAAAAGATTGGATTGCTTAAATAAAGAACTTGATTTTACAGGCTCATAAATTTTAGTACTTAACTGCCAGGATTTCTGGGAAATTTTTTAAAAAGGGCTCTGGATCTCAACCAATGTTATTTCTCTGTGCTTTGTATATACAGTTAAAAGTTATTACCAAGATCATTAACAGAGAAGAAAAGCAGGCAATTCCCACAAATAGGAAAGTAAAACACTGTAACACCAAAGGGGAAAAAACCTACTTAAGTACAAGAAACCTGAGGTAAGTGCACATTTAAACACCATGTAGCCATGTACCTTCACTGAATTCATTTAGCAACTCTTCCTTGGTCCAATTACATGAAGTTATTAGAAAAAAGCCTTTTACTTTCAACACCACAGAGAGAGATTTCACATATTGCTTCCTCTTCTCAATTGCATTGTCAGGATTAAGACTTATGGCATCAAAAGTCCCTTTGTCAATACAAATATGAAATCCAGACAGCTTTGTAGAAAGATTCAAAAAGTCTTCTACCTATATTAAAAATAATGTCTGTGTGAGAACAATTAACACAATCTCTATAGAATTTAAGTGACAACTTATAAAAGGTTATGGCTAAAAGGGCTCATTAATTATGATGGTATTTTACATATAATAAACATATCTGCTATATTATAGTTAACTTTATGGGCTTCATTCCAAGATCAATAAAGCCAAGATCAGTAAGAGAGGTTGACAGTGTTTCCTGAACATTTCAAATCTCTACAAATTTGGAAGCATCTCAAAGCCCAATAATACCAGCACATTATGCAGCTCACACACCAGGTTTATGAACATGTTGCTTGTCAAAAGTAAAATATTTACACTGGGTATGGTGGGGCATGCCTGTAATCCAAGGACTCTGGGAGGTTGAGACAGGAGGATTGCAAATTCGAGCCCAGCCTGGGCAATATAGCAAGATCCTGTCTCAGAGTATAATAAAAGGGCTGGAGAGCTCAGTGCAAAGCCCAGCACCATTTAAAAAAGAATAATAATAAAAATAAAATACTTGACATTTATCAGAATGACAAAATATATTTGGAACTCAGGAAATGAGATTTTTAGCTTATATTCAAAGTTGTGTGACCAAAAGTAAACACAGTAAATCAGATGTTCTTTTGCCTTGACTCAGCAGCTTGAAGAGCTACTGATGGATATATGAATGGTACGAAGCTTAGAAATTAAATAACTGTTTAAACTATAAGTACTTAACTTCGTAAATATCCTGCACTTTAAATTTTTAGTCATACAACAGCATCCTGTTCTCAATAACGTGATATAATTTAAGTATCTGAAATAGCGATCTCTGTCAATTTTATACAGTAGTTCCAAAACTTTGCCAGTGAATTTAACTCTGAAAAGCTACTTTGATAAAAACAATTAGCTCATGATTACTCAAAAAATTTAATAAAGTAATTGTAAATAGAATTTTATCTTAAACCCTTGGCTGGGCATGGTGGTGCTATATAATCCCAGCACTCAGGAGGCTGAGGCAGGAGAATCGCCATGAGTTCAAGGCTAGTCTAGACTATATAGTAAGTTCAAGGCCAACCTGAACTATGTAGTGAGATCGGTCTCAGAAAAACTAAAACGCCTACTGACTTAAAATATGTGGACACTATAAAACATCCCTGCATTCAATGCCCAGTAATGAAAATTTAAAAAGTAGTTATTATGTATTTATATCAGAGGATGGGTTTTTTCCCCTTCCTCACATCCAAAGTAGAGTATTATATGTGAGCAAAGTAATGTCTCCTATTCTGAAGAATTAACTTTGGCGAAGCTTTGAATGTGTCCTCCAGAATTCTATGTTGGAAACTTTTTTTTGTTTTGTTTTGTTTTGAGACAGGGTCTCACTATGTAGTGAAATTGACCTGGAACTCACTAGTAGCTCAGGCTGGTCTCGAACTCACAGCATCCTCCTGCCTCAGCTTCCTGAATGCTGGGATTACAGCTGTGCACCACCACGCTCAGCCATATATTGGAAACTTAATCTCCAAGATTTTATGTTACTGGTATTTGGCTTTTATTGTTGTTGTTTATATTTTTGTATCTGTTTTGTTTTTGTTAATGGAATATGGAAGTGGGGTCTTTGGGAGGTCACTGGGTCATAAAGGTGCTCTCTCCATGTGGATTAATGGGCTACTGAAGGTGTGGCTTCGGTATAAAGCAAGCTCCCTCTGGCATGCTTGCTCTGTCTCACCATGTGTTGTTCTCCACCAAATTATGCATGAAGGTCCTCACCACATGCTAGTGCCTGGTGTTAGACTTGCCAGCCTCTAGAACTCTAAGCTGAATAAACCTCTATATTTTATAAAGTACCCAGCCTGTGGTATTCAGTTGCAACAACAGAAAACTGACTAAGACATACACTAAACAAAGAAAATAAAAACAGTAATAACACTGTGGGTGACTGGGAAGAAAATATTTTGAAAAAGTGTTCTGGGAAGTCCTCTCCAAAAAGGTGATTATCTGAGCGGAGATCTGAATGACATTCTGGGGCAAGAACAGTCTAGGCAGAAGGCAACAGGTATAAAGATTCCAGAACATGTTTCAGGAACATAAAGCCAGTGTGACTCTGGAGTATTGCATAAAGGGGGCAAGAAGAAATGAGGGACTTAGTAAAACTGGGTGTGGGATTAGATTCCATTCTGAATGCAGAGAGAAGTCAATAGAGGGCTCCCAACAAGGAGGTGACACAAACTGCTGGGCATGGTGCCATATGCTATAATCCCAGCACTGTGGAAAGCTGAAGCAGGATTCCAAGTCCAAGACCAGGGTGGGGAACTTACCAATCGAGTAAGACCCTGTCTCAAAATTGAAAGATTTTTAAAAACAGGCTGAGGCTGTAGCTCAGTGCAAAGGCCCTGCATTCAATCTCCAGTACTATTTAAAAAAATTACTCTGGCTACCCTGTAGTACATGGAATCAGGGTTCATGATAGAAACAGGGAGCCAAATAAAAGGCTGCGGGCTGTGATGGTTTAAACTACCACAGGCAAAAACGATGGCAAAAACAACGGTGGCTTAGATTTGGCAGACAGGAGCTGAAAATATCACATTCCTGATGTATTCTGAAAATAAAACAATTGGACATGGGCGCCCCCCCCCCGCTTTTTTGGTTTTTTGAGCATGGTCTTGATTTTTTGAGTAGTTCAGGCTGGCCTCAAACTCACAAACTCACAGCAATTCTCTTGCCGCAGCCTCCCACATGCTGGGATCACAACCAGCTGGGACATGGGACTTTAAAAGGAAGAAGAATGAAGGCTGACTCCTTAAATTAGTGCAACAGGGTGAAAGATGATGTCATTAGCAGAGGTGAGAAAGACTGGCAAGAACAGATATAAGAAGGAAACCAAGAGTTTCAATTTGGACTCATTAATTTGAGAAAATATTAACCATTCAAGTAGAATTTATAATAGGCATCTTTTATATAATTCTAAAGCTCAGATGAGAAAATTGGACTAGAAACACAAAGTTAGCAGTCTTTATCTTAGGACACAAGAAAAATAATCTTTGGCAACATTAATTACACCATAATAAGCATTGAAAACTTTTTTTTTTTTTTTTTTTTTTTTTTTTTTTTTTTTTTTTTTTGGTACCGGGGATTGAACTCGGGTCCTTGCGCTTTCAAGGCAGGCCACCACATTGAAAACTTTTTGATATGGTTAATCCATAGTTAGGTATTAGTCATATATTTTTGCAAACACTGAGGGAGATAGTGTATGAACACACATGTATATAAGGAGTAATTTCCCTAAACTAATTTTTTTTTTTTTTGAGACAGGGTCTCCCTGTGTAGCCCAGGCTGACCTTGAACTCATGGTGATCCTCCTGCCTCAGCCTCCCAAGTGCTGGGATTACAGATGTGCACCACCACACCTGGCTGAATTTTTAATACAATTACTTTCAAATGTTTCAATTTGTATTATTTATGATTATTAATTTATAAATTCTAAGATGTCAACACATTAGTGGGTTTTTTTTGTTGTTGTTGTCTTTTGTTTTATTGGTATCGGGGATCAAATTGAGGTCACTGCACTTGCGAGGCAGGCACAGGCGCAAGAACCACTGAGCTGAATCCCCAGCCTCATTAGTGTATTTTAGAAACATTTAAACCTTCTAACTTCTATTACGAATAAAAATATTACAATAACTTAAATAGTAGTTACCTTCAATTTAATGTTAGATAACCCTTCTTTCTTTATAATACATTCAGAAAGATGAATTGCAGAGGGAGAATAATCAATTCCAGTAATATTAGAGAAGCCAAATTTTGCCTAGAGACAGAAAAACAATTTTATATTTTAGTTTAAAAGTTCTAGTATGTTTTGCCTATGAATCACCATATTCCTTTAGTACTGAGTTGTTTTAATTTTCTTATAGATCAAACGATACATAATATCCCACATCTACAATGTTTAAATTTTATTGTAAAATCTAAATAGAAACCAAAAGTTTAAGTTTATATATGATTATTTGGGGTTTTTTTCCTTTGAGTTTATTGGTACATTTTAGGGATACAGTACAGTTACATTCATTATTGGGATCTTATACCTTTACATGACAGGTCTTGGTTCTCATTTTTTCCCCTTGTCCCTGCCCTCCCTTCACCCCTTCCTCCCCTCCCCATTTACAAACATTTTATTTCCATTTTTTCATTTTCTCCTATTTTTTTTCTTTCCCTTATTACCTTTCCCCATCCTTCCCACTTTCCCTACACCTTTATCCCTTTTCTTCCTATTTCACATGGTCAATTATCTCATTAGGATCTTATGTACTATTATAGTTTATTCACACCAGAGATTTACACGTGTGACTTACTTATTTCACTTAGGAGCCTATCCTCAATATGTATCCATTTTCCTATGAATGAATCTAATTTCTCATTCTTTATGGCTAAGTAGTATTCTATTTTATAGAAAAACCACATCTTCTTTGTCCAGTTTCCAACTGATGGGGAAATGGGCTGTTTCCAAGTTTTAGCTATTACAAACTGTGCCGCTATAAACATACACAATCAAGGTGGGAAAACATTTTTACCAGCTACTCCTCAGACAAAGGACTATTACTTAGAATACATAAAGAACTCAAAACAATCAGCCCATCCAAATATAAGGACCTGATTAAAAAACTGGGCATCTGAAACGAACAGACATTTCTCAAAGAAGTAAAAGCAGCAAGTAAATATATAAAAAATGTTCCACATCATTGGTCATTCGAGAGATGCAGATGAAAACAACATTTAGATTCCACCTCACCCCACAAAGAATGGCTGCTATCAAGATATCACTCAATGACAAATGTTGTAGGGGTTGTGGGGAGAAAGGAACCCTTCTCCATTGTTGGTGGGAGTGCAGACTGGTGCAACCACTATGGAAATCAATATGGAGATACCTCAAAGAGCTGGGACTAGAGGTTCCATTTGACCCAGCCATCCCTCTGGTGGGTATCTTCCCAAAAGAACTAAAAGAATCATATCACAATGATATATGATCATTCATTTTTAAAATATCTGATTTCTTTTTGAAAAAGAAATCATTTTCTCTAAGATAATGAAATTTATAAATAAACCCTCAGGCCAAAAAATATAATATTAACTTCTGATGCTGATCTGCTCCAGTTCACACATAAATTTTATTTAACTCAATTAAATTATATAACTAAATTGAATGTATATGTAGTAAGTTATTGATTTTACATTTTTTTCCTGTGGTGTAATTATAAATTATTCACTTCTGGGCCGGGGATATAGCTCAGTGGCAACACCGCCTGCCTCACAAGTGCAAGGTCCTGAGTTTGATCCCGGTACCAATTTTTCAATTCTCTGGCCATCATGTGATTATTAGCCATCCTATATTTGTACTCATGTTGTAACTATTCCACACATTCCATTAAATCTTTACAAAAAACCTGTGAGGTAGACTCAGCAAATGTGAATATTCCACAGAGTCAAAGATAGCCTGCCAGACTTGAGAGTTTTGCTCTTTACAAACCATTGACCCTTCCAGGATTTGGGGTGCCTCTGGCAAAAGCATGGTGGCTTCTGTTTTTCACCCCATTCCCTAACTATGCTGAACATTTTTAGACTAAGGCTAAAAATAATTTAAAAGGAAATAGGAAAAACAAAAGAAGCTACAAAGTACAATGTGGCCTGAAATTCCCTCGGTGCTCTTCACTACTTAGTAAATGGCTACTTCCTTCAAAAACAACTACTCCTACATCATGCAGTAAGACTAACCTAGCCTTGTCAACCCTAAGTGACATCTAACTAATCTGAACTCAAGGAATATCACAGCAATTATTTTCCACAGACCATTTGCTCCTTTTAATTACTTTTAGTTTTAAGGGGTCTAAAATCCCCTTTGTTGTAGCCAGGCGTGGTAGCCCACACCTGTAATGCCAACACTCAGGAGGCTGAGGCAGGAGGATCGCTGTGAGTTCAAGACCAGCCTGGGCTACACAGTGAGTTCCAGGTCAGTCTCAACTAAATAGTGAGATCCTGTCTCAAAACAACAACAACAAAAAGTCCCCTTTGTTGATGCCAACTCCTTGCCCTTTTAGCTGTCTCCCTCTCTACTCTTGGAGATTTTCTTTCTTTTTTATTTAATTTCCCTCAATTCCTTCTCTAACAGACCTAGATGATTCTACCAATTCTTACCAATTAAAATTTTCTGCCATGCCTATTTATTCTTACAATACAACTTTAAAAAATCATATGTAGATGTTTTAGGTTCCTAGAACAATCACTTGGAGCCTTAAACTATCTCCATTTTTCACATTCAATTTCTGGCACTCAGAGAAAAATAAGCAGACATTCAAGAAAACAACAAATGATCAAAAAACCTTTGGGAAAAACTGACATTAAAAACAGACCCCAAAGGAGAGCTAAATAAAAGAATTATCAGAAACTGATTTTATAAAGTAACTGAAATAAATGACAATGACAAACTGGAGAATTCTGGCAGAGAACTGAGGACTTTTATTTTTCTTGCAACAGGGTCTCACTATACAGTGCAGGCTAGTCTTAAACTCACTATGTAGGCCAGATAACATGCAGTGATCCTTCTGCCTCAGCCTCCCAAGTGCTGGCACTACAGGTGTGTGCCGCCACACCTGGCTGAGAACTTTAATAATGAACCAAACAAGTAACAGAACTGAAAAATAAAATAATTAAGAGATTCAAGAATGGGACTGATTGCAAATTAGACACAATAAAAAAAAACTTTTTTAAGAAGTAGTAAAGAAAAATCAGAAAATATTCCTATTAAACATAGAATGACAGGCCAGGGATTTAGCTCAGTGGTTCTGCTGCCTGCTTTGCAAGCACAAAGACCCAAATTCGATCCCTGGTACCAAAAAAATTTTAAAAATTAAAAAATAAACATAGAATGACAAAAAGATGGAAAAAACAAAACAACCTCAAAGATCTAGTATGACAGAGAATATAAAATCTTACACACACACACACACACACACACACACACACAGGTATCTTGCTAAATTACCCAGGCTGGCCTTGACCTTGCTATCCCCATACCTCAGCCCTGGAGTAGCTGGGATTACAGGCATTTACCACTGAGCCTGGCCGATTACCTACTCTGTGTGTGTGTGTGTGTGTGTGTGTGTGTGTGTGTGTGTGTGTGAGAGAGAGAGAGAGAGAGAGAGAGAGAGAGAGAGAAATCTGAGAGGAAATGAGAATGGGCAGAAGAGAAAATGTCACATGGCTGACATTTTTCCAGTACTGTCACAGAATCCCCATCTATACACTGAAGAAGCACTATAAATTTTAAGTAGGATAAAAATGAAGAAAACCACATCTAGGTATAGCATAGTATATCTGATAAAAAATAAAAATAGAAAACTCTCAAAAGCATCCAAGGGGTGGGGATGAGGTTTACCAAGAGACCGATTACCTTCAAACAGCCAACAGACCTTACAGCTGATGATACATTATAAAACTGAAACCCAGAAGAAAATGAAAGAAAAATACCAATCTAAAATTCTGTAATAAAAATATCCACTAGAAAGGTAGGAAAGGAGCCAGGCTTGATGGCACACATCTGTTATCCCTGAACTTCAGGAGAATGAGGGAAGATTACAATTTCAAGCCCAGCCTGGACCATTTAGCAACTTGATAAGACCCTGTCTCAAAATAAAAGGTAAATAAAAAGGGTTAGGGATACAGTTCAGTGTGGAGGGACTGTGTTCAAATCCTAGTAAAACACACATACACACACACACACACACACACACAGAGTAGGTAATCGGCCAGGCTCAGTGGTAAATGCCTGTGATCCCAGCTACTACTCCATACACACACACACACACACACACACACACACACACAGAGTAGGTAATCGGCCAGGCTCAGTGGTAAATGCCTGTAATCCCAGCTACTCCAGAGGCTGAGGTATGGGGACAGCAAGGTCAAGGCCAGCCTGGGCAATTTAGCAAGAAACTTTCATTAAGTAAATTTTTTTTCTTTTTTGATACCAGGGATCGAACTCAGGACCTTTTGCTTGCAAGGCAGGCAGCAGGACCACTGAGCTAAATCCCCAGCCCTCACTAAGTAAAATTTTTATGGCTAGGAATATAGCTCAGTGGTACAGTGCTTGCCTACCATATCCAGGCCCTGAATATACAACACCACCTCTTAAATTTACTTGCCAAAAAAAGTGAATTTAAAATCTCTGGGGAAAGCAAGGTGTGGTGATGCATGCCTATAATCCCAGCACTTGGGCAACTGAGTCCAGAGGATCACCATGAGCTTGAGGCCAGCCTGGACTACATAGTGAGTTCCAGACCAACTGAACTACATAGCAAGACTCTGTATCAAAAAACCAAAAAAAAAAAAAAAAAAAAAAAAAACAAAAAAAAAAAAAAAAAAAAAAAAAAAAAAACAACAAAAAACAAAAATAAATAAAATAAAATCTCTGTGGAATGGTAGTATGCACCGATACTCCTAGCTTCTTAGGAGGCTGAAAGTAGATCACAAGTTTAAACCCAGCCTGGGCAATTTAGCAAGATTGTCTCTCAAAATAAAATATTATGCTGGACATGGTGGTGCACACCTGTAATCCCAGGCTGAGGCAGGAGGATGGAGACCAGCCTGGGCTACATAGTGAGTTCCACTGTTTTGAGACCCTGTCTCAAAAAACCAAAATAAATAAATAAATAAAATATTAAAAGGGCAGGGAATGTAGCTCAGTGCAAAAGCCCTGGGTTCATTCCCCACTGCTGCATTTAATTAATTAATTCTCTGAATCAGAGGTCAGCA